TTTAAGTATTTAAAAGTCAGACACAGTTTGGATTCTTTTTAATGTTTTATTTTATGGTTAATTTTTGTATTAAATTAATTGACAAATAATCAGTTATTTCTTGTTAATCAGCTTTTGAGTGCTGTCACTTTGAGTACCGGGTATGATGCGCGCTATTTCGGCTGATCGGTTTTTTCATTCCCTGCAATTTCTCACAAAATGGTTTCTTCCGAGTATTCCGGTTTTCTTCCTCCATTAAAATCAACTAGAGAGTCATTAATACTAAAAACAGTGTATGGGAGATCTAGTGAGTATAGGGGGGGGGCATGCTCCCCTTTTTTCATGATCAAAGTCCAGCCACCACTGATAAAACGCAGTGGTATTGCATGTGGAGTCTTACTCCCTGTTCGAGCTCTTCTTGCTACTTGCAAGACATAAATGTTAAAACTACGATGTACGGACACCTTTGCATCTCGTTTACTTTACCTATCCGCATAAAATAAGATCTTATTTTTTTGTCACTTCAAGTTTGTGTGCAAATGTACATATTTGTAAATTACAGCTAGTTTTTCCCACGTGAAAAGGAGTGGCCATGGGTTAATTATGCTTGGTGATCGGCGACAGAAGCGACTTACCAGATTTGCTAGTCATAGCACGCAAGGGCTAAATTCTATACGGTCTCAACAAAATTATGCATCGATCGCACGGCAACATTGAAGCTGACGCCGTAATCAAAATTGATCTGGGTTAACCGGTCTGGCATCGTCCCCCAAGTGTCTGCTAAAGTGGGATTGGTCTGGCTCGTGCACCATGGCTTGACCTCTTGCGTTACATGATGATAACTGAACAGTTATCAACACCCTGGCTGCTTACATTTCACCATTTGAAAGACTAGACTAGAGCGAGAGTACAATCATCACGACATTCCTTAATTCAACAGCCATTATACTGACCTGGTGATGATATCCACACAAGTACTAACACTATTTCTTGGTAAGTAAGCAAGTCATCTAAGGAAATATGGAAACAAGTTAGAACATTATTATATGAGTCGCCAGATTAGGTACATCACTTGTAGACTTGTGTTCAATAGCGGACGATTCACGACCCATATAACGTGTCGAAGGTTTTATCAACATTCTTTCAATCTATGAAATTTTATGATTGATTTAAGAACAGGCTTTCTTTGCTTATTTGTTTAGTGCTAAAATGCTTGCACAATATTTCTTCGGTCTTTTTAATTGCAAATTACGACAGTACTAGTTGTAGTAAAAATGCTGTAAATTCTTAACCTTTGCATGTTGATACTCTAGTTGAATGGCACCATCAAGTTAAAATTTTGATTAAGTATATTTTATAATACTCATAAAAGGGATATTTTTTACGAAAAATAGGCAAAACATCTAGCAGAGAGCAGCAAAAGTTCAATAATACATAAGAGTATGAAAAATGGTCGAATCAATTCGGTACTGCGTCGTGTTAAATACGTCAAATCTTTGTTGCACGTCATTAAACATAACATGATCGTGGATGTCAAGACATTTGACTCTCTCTCTCTCTCTCTCTCTCTCTCGCTCTCTCTCTATACATATATGTATATATCATAATCAAGATCTTTTTTTAATAACGTTATTCAATCCTTAAGATTAAGTAACATTTCCGTTTTATAGTGATTATTGATCGATCAACAAAATAATGAGGCACTACATTTTTTTTGGTATAATAAATACCTAGTGCATGGTAGAGTGCAAACCATATATTCGTGAAGAGTACAATTACAACTAAACAGAACTAAACACATTTATTTATTTTGTTTTCAATTGTTTCATTTGTGCTATTTTGTACCGTCTGATGAGTACTATTTCACAGATATGTGGTTTGCACTCTAACCATTCAACAATAAAACTCAAAGCAACCCGTTGATTGAGACCCAAAACAATGTTCTTAGGGCTTATCCAAGTCAGGGTGCTGCTTAATAATAGATGAATTAAAAAAGTAGTTCACACTGAACAGACTGAAGCTAATATACCTTACTTCAAAGGTTTACCAGTTCTCTGATCCGTTTTGATATTTATAGTACATGAAAGGTATTAAAGAAAAGCTTACATAAGTACATGGTCACCGAGAATAACTATATTAGCAGGCGGCCACTTGCGCACAATTGGCGAGAAACCCCGCTATATAGGCTTAATCATTTGTCCCATTTGTACCCATTTGGATCTGAGTTTAACTAACATCAATTTCTGGATTGAAGTCTGGATTGACGTTTTTTTTTTTGATATCAACAGTAATAATAGTACCCTGTGCATCCCAGCATGCGCCAGGGTTTGGGTGCAATGACACCTTCTTAATGGTTGAGCTTCATAAATGCGAGAAGACAATGCTGCAAGCTCTTATTGACGATCCCTCTGCGAATTGTAGGTAAGTGTGACTTCGACCGAATTTTACCACTGTTTTTCCATTTCAGACTATATGTCATTCCCTAGAGTATCATTTCTTTGTTTAATGGTTACACATCAGAAGATATAGATACAACTCAAACAAAGAATCTTATTTCTAGAGAATGACACATGGTCTTGGTGGATTGGGTTCATTAGGAAAATCTGGCATAGCTATTAAGTAATTATTAGTCTGTACATTTATGCTTCCTGTTAAATTAGTGCTGTTTTCTGAGGTAGGGTAACCTACTGAGGTCTAACTAATGTTTCGGTGTTGTTCACCAAGGAACGAAATTTTTAAAACAGCCACCGCTTGAACTATCCTGCCGATCTGCCCTACTTACCTTCCGTATGGAAGGCAGGGATAATGGAATTTATAAAATCGAATTACGTTTTCTTTCCTGTCCACGTAGAGAGGAGGTCAAAAAGCTTCAGCAATGTTCCCGGAAGTTGATTGTCGACAGATGTTACAGTTCGCTGTATGCCTTGTACCCCAAACTCCGTGAAGCCGTCGAGAAAATGATGGACGTGACTTTGAAGCAGGTCAATAAAGCATCGTTCTATTGCTCCGACCACAAGATGAAGATCAACTGGGAAATGATTCCAAACGCAGTGAAGAAAGTTCTGCCATGCGACAAGAGGTTTTTCGAGGAATCTCTGCAATGTGCTGAGAAGTTTCGTGCTGCTTTCAATAAAAACAAAAAGGATCCGGATTTATGCAGGTATATTTTTTTATTGACTATTGTAGATTGAAATTGTTTCTTGCATATAAAAGGTAAATTATTGTTACTGCTAAAAAATATAGACCCTATTCGTCGGAGTGCAAGGTGTTTCTATTACAGACACGTGCCATTCCAAAGAGTACATTTCATTGTTTAACGGTTGTGCATGAGAAAACACGTGTATATGGATACAACTAAAACAAATAATTTTATTATTTGGTGAATGGTCTGTAATTAAAAAAACATTGCTCCACCACGAATAGGGACAATGCAGGAAGCTGTATATAAATGTTTAAAGAAAGCGTCGCAGTGTCTTTTTTCAACAGATTGTACACAGAAACAAAACGATGCAGCCATCGAATTTCGTATATCTACTGTACAAGCTCGAGCATACTCTCAGTCAATAAACTGAATCCTTTCTGTGAAGGGGGAAGGGATATTGAGGAACCGTCCAACGATATGACTATCAAAAGTAAGTATCTGCTTGTATTGTTGTATGGAAATCGGGGCCTATAATAGACCACTTGCAGCACTTTGGAATGCAGCTCAATCTAGGGCACAAAACAATAGGTTCTAATTCTCAGGAGATTTGAATTCTTTTGTTTTGTCCCCAGATTGAGCTGCTTTGACATCACATGCAAGGGGTCTATTGTCATGTGGCCCCTAAATAGAGTTTGGCCAATCCAATAGARCAGGTGCATGTTACGTCATTGCCGCCATCTTAATTGACGATAACAAAGAATTCCTCATTAGCTTCTCTTGTTAAATCAACTAAGATGGTGTCTATTTCATTGTTATTCTTATCTCAAGGGATTTTGAGTCACATGGTACACACACTCTATATTTTAAGGATGTTCTTGTTTGTCTTCAAAATAAATCTTGTCTACTTAATCCCATGATTGTACTCGATATTTTGATTCATCGCATTCTAGATAACATGGATCATCATATGATCGCTTGATAATAAATTCAGAAAACTAAGATTGATAATAAATATTTCTATTTGTATTAGAAAAACCGCTAAAATGTATGGTACATGTGTGCTCCAATTCGTCGTCATCCCTCTTTCCCACTCCCCCATGCGCTCCACCACAAGAAATCACATGTGCTACTCCAAAAGGACTGCCATTTGAATACGACGCCTGCATGACTTCAAGGTACTGGTATCAGCATTTTGTACTCGAAAATATAAAATAGCGTAATTTCTGCTCGTCAAACAATCATGCTCAAAAACGACTACGTCAAGTCGCTGTCGGTTTGGTACGCGCGGAACGTCCAGATGTCCGCGCTTAATAATTTCAACAGATATATTAAAGATGTTCTTAACGAAAATCAGGTGGCAATGTTTTTACGCATCGCATTACGCAGCTTGTCCCAGACTCGTCTTTAGTATTTCCAACATGCTGCCTTCCGGGTAGACATCAATAGTTGTTTGGGGGAAATATTTAAAAAAATTTATGTATCGCAAAAAAAATCATTCTCCAAATTACCTCTTTTTTTTTTTCATCACCGAGCGGAATTCTATTGTTGTCTTATAATCTATTTGTAAGAAAAACAGGAATGCCCTTTATCTAATCTGCAAACAAGCTTTATTAACCTTTGGTTGGTTTTCAGGATAACTTTAGAGCCTGTTGAGGGAGTAACAGTGACACAAGTAAATCGAAACTGTTCTAGCTCCTTTCTTTGTAAGTATGACGTGTTTTGCAGCACAGCTAACAGCACTGGAGCCATACAAAGTTGCAACGTTAACTGCTGCAAAGGAGAATTGTGTAACAAGGACAATTCATACCAAACAAAAATACAACCTACGGAATCAGAAGGCAAGTTACTTTGATTAAGTAACGATGCCGTTTAGAACAATAGCGAGAACAATAGGCCCGCGGCATGGGCAGCCGTTTACGATTTGGATTACGGAAGTGTTAATTAAATTACATTTTTCAATCTTATTGGCTTAAATTCGAAAAGCGCCAAATTCAAACTTATTTTCGTTCTTGTTCTTATACAAGTCCGGTATAGTTGCCGTAAATTGGCGAGCAGACTTGTTGAACAACGATTGATAACATAGGCGAGCTTGGAACAAATTGTATGTGGGGAACGATTTCCGAGTGTTCCCCAGATATAATTGGTCTAAAAAAAATTCGGACAATAGTTCCGATGTATCTTTGGTAAATGGAATGACAATTCGCTACTATTTCGGCGTTTTTCCGTAAAAAATACAATGACTATTTTTTTCGGCCAACCAGAGAGCTTGGATATAATTATTTAAGCCAATTATAGAAATCTTCACTGCGCATGCCTTGCCGTTGGGTGCTATCGTTCTAAACGGCATCGTTACTTAAAGATGATTTTCTGCCAAAGTCCGATAACATGATTATTAATTCACAATGCCCATTTTTAGTTTCTAGCCGTTCTTAGCCTTTAAGTGTCCACCCATCCACCCATCCACCCATCCACCCATCCACCCATCCACCCATCCACCCATCCACCCATCCACCCATCCACCCATCCACCCATCCACCCATCCACCCATCCACCCATCCACCCATCCACCCATCCACCCATCCACCCATCCACCCATCCACCCATCCACCCATCCACCCATCCACCCATCCACCCATCCACCCATCCACCCATCCACCCATCCACCCATCCACCCATCCACCCATCCACCCATCCACCCATCCACCCATCCACCCATCCACCCATCCACCCATCCACCCATCCACCCATCCACCCATCCACCCATCCACCCATCCACCCATCCACCCATCCACCCATCCACCCATCCACCAATCCAAGATAAGATAATTGACATTCTCCATTATTTTCAAGTTTCAAGTTTCAAGTGTATATCATCCGCATGCACCAAATCATCTAGCCCTCTTTTTCCCCCTCAATGCGGCCCGGAGCAAGAGATCACATGCAATAGCCCTCGAACTTCTGTTCCTTTGTACGACAGATGTATCACTTCAAGGTATGACTTATTGTAAGGGGTGGTCATTGATGGTTTTCTATATATGCGTTTACATATACGTGTATATACAATTGCATGAATGGATTCTCTCCATGGACAGCCACAAAGACATTTGTTTTCAAGCTTGCAAGCTGTTTCAAGGTTATTCCTTTAAAAAGCGATCATGGAGCGCTATGTTTTCCTATTTCAGACAACGTGTAATTCCCTAGAGCAGTTGTTGATACAACTCAAACAAAGAATCTTATTTTCTAGAGAAAAACATGTGGTCTGAAATGGGAAGGCATTACAGTATCAAAGCTAAAGAGTTCTACATGTGCTGTATGAAACGCAGTAAGGTAGAGGAAATGGAAAACCAGCGCATGTAAGATAAAATCCCAAGACATGGTTGTGTTCGCACCTCAAGTGTTTTATACGCATACGAAATTTTTTTCTGGCTATGACATCTTTTCTAATATTTATATTTTATTACTACAGGGTGTCAATGGGCTCAATTGCTGGTATTACAGTTGAACAAGAAATCCGTAACTGCTCCTACTCTTTACTATGCGAGTCTGAGTTGTTTTGTAAGGCTGTTAATAAGTCAGGCCTTGTAACGAGATGTGATATCCAGTGTTGTGAGGGAAATCTATGCAACAGGAAACGACCAATAAAAACTACACCAATACCTCAGACAGCTACACCAAAAGGTAAAATGTAACTATTATATTCTTAAAACTTTAAAAAAAAAAAAAAAAACCAATTATGATTATTATAATGCGCCTAACAAAATTACTCGATTCTGATTGAACAAGAGGAGTACAATTACTATCCCAAATTGCACTCTGTAGAGTCCCAATTAATTTGCTCGATTTTATTGAGTGTATTATAAAAGAAAAATCGCACAATCTTCTCATACAATTTGGAATTTATAGATACTTGTGATACAAAGATACATGCATGTTTTGAAAGTTCTGAAATTGAACTTGCCTTAAGGCTCGTCCATCAATTTTGAAAACTTTCAAAACATCGAATATCACTCTTACCTATTCCGAATTGTACTCGAGATCGTGCGATTTCCTATACTAATTTGTTAATATTTTTTGTTTTTAGTTTTCAGTCCACTGACCAAAACTGCAATCCCAACAAAACCCCCTAAAAGTTTGTATATATTACAATGGACCTTTCTCACACAGTTTCTATGTTGTCTAATAGTATTTAATAATAATATTTATCTATATGGCAAAAATCAAAAATGCCGTTTTGAAATGCGCCTTTCAAAACGGCAAAATCTGACAAAATCTGTCTAAAATAAATAGGATAAAAAAGAGGGTTTTTATTCGCATTAGGATAAACATGACTGCGCGTGTGAGTAAGGCTCATGTCCCTTTATAATGGCAGATATATTATTTATTTGTAGCTTTATTTTGTTGCTAAGAATAGAGCGTTTTCTCAAGGTTGCGTGCGCATCCAACTTGACGGGCCACTAAAATGAAAAACGCAAATTCAGTAAAATTGAGAAGACAGTTTTATATTTAAAGAGGAGAATAATCGATTTCATAAATTCTCGATCTTATCGGGAAAAAATCATAGCAATGCATGATAATACTCGTGTTATGGTATCGTGGACCATCAAGTTCCTTAAATTTGGATGCGCACGCAGCCTTGAGAAAACGGCCTATTCAAAATTGAATATTAATATTGTCCAAATGTCGACATGTGGGCAACATCAGGAGGCCATTACCCGGAGCGTGCGACTAGTACCCCTATTTTCTCGGACTACTAACGTTGTTTTTAGATTTGTATTCGGGTGCCAAATAACAAAACATTCCTCAATAGCTTCTGTTGTTCAATACACCAACATGTTGGCTATAGCTTTGTTCATTGCTTCACGAGGGGTTGGATTGAAGGCCGTTCTAAATATAGATGGTCTTTGAAAATGGAAACTCCCAAGAAAGATATGAGTTGTATGGCAACTTTTAGATTACCGTCAATTGAAGCGCTTCTGATTTTGTTAATTTTCATTTACAAGGAAAACCACTCAAATGTATGGTCTATAGTTGTTCCAATTCGTCATCATCGTTATTTGCCGCTCCCTCGTGTGCTCCACCACGAGAACTCACGTGTGCTACTCCAGAAGGACTTCCATTTGAATATGACGCCTGCATAACCACAAGGTACTGCAATTAGTTATTTCTACTTAAAAAATAGACATCATTATTAGCATTCACTATGGTTACCAAATATATTCGGAATTTAGTTCAGTGAATATTAATGATGGGTTAACAGTTTCATTTTTAAAAATAAGATAATCAGAAATAAGAGCTTTATATTGAATGACTTTTAGGAGTCTTAGCATTGTGATGTGCAATTCTTACGAAAGGCTATATTAATGACTTTATAATACACTCAAAAAAGTTTCTCGATTCCGATAGGACAAGAGTATAATTAAATCCCAAATTGTACTCTGTGGAGTCCCAATTAAGTTGCTCTTTTTTGTTGAGTGTATTATTTTAAAAAACGCACGATCTTCTCGTACTTCTTCTTCTTCGTCAAGATACAACATTTGAGACTTAAAAACTGAGCTTAGCCTGATTGGACTTATTTTGTAAATTGCTTAGTTTTTATCCTTAAAGAAAATTTTAAAAAAATATCTACCGCAAAACATAGAATATTTATAGGAAACTTTGCCTTCACTTTCTTACCAGCCCGAGATGGTCACAGCACGGCACAAAAGTTCACAAATTCTACACTAATTATTTTTGTATCCATAATTGAATTTTACAGGGTCGTAACTAAGCCGATTGCTGGTCTCATAGTAGAACAAGAAATGCGAAATTGCTCTTCATCCTTTCAGTGTCAGCAACCAAAGCTGTTCTGTGACATGGTCAATACAACGGGCCTTCTGAAGAAATGTGACGTTCACTGCTGTAAGGAGGATCTATGCAATAAGAAGGAAACCAAAGCCACCCTTGCACCACAATCAGTCACGCAGAGAGGTATGGCGCAACAAAAATAATACATAACATCAACTATGTTGTTCGTATGGTTATGCATATGCGTTACGTTTTTTCTCTACTTCGTTGCTTCTGAGTATCTGATTTCGTTTTAGTTTCCAGTCCACCAACAAAACTTCCAAAAGAATATCGACCAAAATTTCAAAAAGGTTTGTGCCTTAAAAAGTACTCAAATATTTGATCATAACCTTTTTGGGGAGTGGAGAGGTGCGCTTGAGCAGCAGTGTACGTTTATGCCTTTCTTATCTCTCTTAACTTAACTTAACTTGATGTGTCAGAGTTTCTATGTCGTGTATAGGAGTTTGGACAAAAGTGACCCCATCTTGGATATCAGGCCATCTACTCCATGGAGTTCGGGTGAAATATCGTAGAGTCAATAACGCTCTTGTCATAGAAGGTCATGTGACTTCTTATGGTTGTCATCGGAGGCCTGGGTCGGGTTTGACTACTTTCATCAGAGGAAACTGGACCCGGATCTTATATACACAAGAATTCATGGGAAGTGCTTCTTGCTGGAGAATCTTTGGAAGTTCAGGGTAACATATTTGATAATTTAATTCGTTTAGTAGAGATAGCAATTTAAATAAAAGAAATCATGGATTTTTAACTTTGATGTGTTCAGGAGGAAAGGTGGTTATAAGCAAGTGGAAAGATCAGGCTTGGAGGAATTTGACACGACAAAAGGCGATATCATATTCAATGAATTAAAAATGGGCGGAAAAGATCGTAAGTTTACGTCACGCATTATGATGATGATGATGTCTACCCTAGTTATGATCCTTGTTGTTAATCACGCCTTAATGGTGTTATTCATACCGAAGCTTGAACATGCAGAATGCAACATGTTCGTTGCAACTAGTTTTGAAAAATGAGACATGTAATGCTCAAGTTGGTAAATTTTTTGTTCATTGAAGAAGCACAGTGCAATGCCTAGAAGTGTGATGGATAAGATCGTAAGGGTGATATAAGAAAAGCACGCGGACAACTCGGTGTTGTTTCCACGTGTCTTTGATCTTTGCAGATTCAGGTGTAACATATGCAAACATGGATTACTGCATGGCGGTTAAGATTAAAATGCGCACTATCGTTTTCTATCTGATGGTAATTGGATTTAAATGAAATGACTAAACTACCGACACTAAATGTAATTACTTTACCTTAACCTTTCACTTTGGATAAGGATACGTTCATCCACAGTGGACAAATCTGTAAAAAACATTTTTGATCTACAGGTGATGCGTTCAATGGAATAACATACATGTGTGGTCAACCAGCAAAAAATTTCTGGCATGCGCAGAATGGACAGGCACTTAGAAGAGCCACTGTGATGTTAAGGCGTAAAACTGACGGAAGCAAAGCTGGTATTCATACTGCTACGTCGTGTGGCCAACCATCATTCATCGTCAAAGATATATTTGTTTACCACTAGCAATCGCTTGGAAGAATTGATGAATGGAGAATGCGCGGATAGCAGCTCAAATCAATTCAATCCGTATTAAAACCCGAAATTACTAGCCCACATGTGACGTCATCTCCGCCATTTTGCATACTTGTCAGCCATGTTAACTGTTTGAATTTTAACCAGCAGCTTTTTGCTTGTTTCTTTTATAACTGTATCTGATTGGCTAGCTGACTTTTGCATGTCTCTTGCTGGCTGGTGGCGGTTGTCTGGTGGCTTTGTCCAACGAATGGTGACTGACTGGTTTTTATTTTCCTTGTTTATTTTTTCATTGTCGGTTTGCTCGTTCCTTATCAAATTTCCTGTGCCATTGCTGAACCTGCGGTGGCGATTACCGACTACAAGGTTTTTTACGCTATATAATTATATATATATTGATTTCCCCGAGCCAACCATTTTTGCGGCTCTTAAATCATACCATTCTGCCATCTGATCAACACCGCTTTTTGTTAATCGTATTTAACCGGTGTATCATCATCATCATCATCATCATCCTCATCCTCATCATCATCTTCATCATCATCATCTTCATCATCATCCTCATTACCATCTTCATCATCGTCATTTATCGGTGATTGAGTGAAAACAG